AAAGAGTGCTGCATTGAGCAAAGGTATAGCTGACTGAAGTTTTTTTGGTTTTGTTGTCAAACAGCAATTATCCTTCTAGTATTGCCCTACTCACCTCAAGCATTCTCAGTAGCCAAGTTTATTTTCTAAGACACGACATGAGTGAGACCCTCCTCCCCCTCCCCAAATTCAAGTAGCATAGAAAAATAAAAGTGTTATGGATGAAGGGAATGTATCCAGTACCCCTCCCCTACTGCTCCAGCTGGGAAGGAAAGGAAAGGGAAATAAAATTTAATGAGCACTTTTACTATGTGCCAGGTGCTTTACATATGTTATTTCATTTTAATCCCAAAAATAACCGTAGGAGGTATTTCTAGCCACATTTTGCAAACAAATAGAGCCAGAGATGGAGATGTTAAATAGCGTGTCCAGAGCGCTCAGTGTTTAAGTGACAGAGCCTGAACCAAGTCAAAGTCTCTCTATTACCAAGGCCTATACAATACTGGGCCCATGTTTCTGCTTTGTTTTTCTTCAGATTCATAATGTGAATATTAATGTTTTATTGGGCTCAATGGTGACATGAGGATAAAACAGTTTGACTGCCCAATGAAGTTTGTTCTCATGGGATTAACTATCTTTGATAGATTATATTTTGTTAAGTCAAATAAATATATTTATAAAAAAAGGTTTAGATAATTTCTTCAGTTTTAGTTATTTGAAAAGAAAACATTATCCATGTTTTTTCATAGACTGGAAGATTGCCTCTTTTTGTGTCCTCTATTCTGTTATATAGAACAGCTAACTATGTCACAGGAGATTTTGCTTATAACAGCTGGTCACCAGGGTTTGTCAGAACTCCAGAAAGACAGAATCCATGCTCAGGAACATTATTATGTTTCAAGTCATCCAGTACCTAAGAGATAAGACTGGTTTGGGGTGGAGAGGGAGGGTGTCAGGGAAAGATGTCTTACAACCCTCTAGGGATTGTTGAGAGGAATATTCGCCTTGCTTTTCTGTGCATGCTCTGGTATGATTTAAGACCCACAGAAAGTGTACTGATGGAATTTCAAAGGTTTTTCAAATTGGAGAAGCCAATATACATGACTATACTATTGTGAAGTAAAGCTAATGGAATTACTATCTATTTATTGACTCAATATTTCATAGTCTTAAAAAATAATATACCAGCTGTGCTTTACATGTATTTATGTAACTTTCTTGTTTTTAAAGTAAAGCTTTTCGTCTGTAGCAGCAATAGAGGTGCAGGTGACCTGGGGGCAAATAATTTTCTTTGAAAAAGGCTAGCAGTATAGGAGAGGAGTCATTGTGGTAGCTGATAATGGAGAAACGTAACAAAAAGTCCCACTAAAGAGTACTGCCATCTGCAGTTGTCTGTTATAGGGAGCGCTGCTTCACTCACTTGGTAACCTCCTAAATGGCAGATGATTAGGGCAGCACAGAAATATTTCCCAAAAATGTTTGGAATTCTTAATGGAGTTTGGGTACATGGAAGATAACCAGAATTATTTGGAAAATGAATATTCATGAAACTCCTTTATCTTTGATGATATCAGATTAATGAAGTGTTACTTTGTAAGACAAGTAAATGTTCATGTGTGTCCTGACATATTTCTTAAATTGGTGGTCATAATCTATAGTAATAAAAGGGTAATATGCAAATTGGTTGGGACACCATCACAGTAATGGCCAAACAGCAGGCTGCATGTGCAGCAGGTGTGGTGGGTGGGGACTTGCAGCGTGGGGGACGGAGGTGGGGACTTGCAGCATTGGGGATGTGATGGTGGCTGCCACTGCAGGGACAGGGGCGGGGGCAGCGGGCCCCGCAGAGGGAGGCCTGTACTCCCCACATGGCGGTGGCTGTGAGCGCTCCCGATGGCCACTGCTGTTTGCCCAGAAGGACCACAGGTTCCTTCTGCCAAGTGGCAGCAGAGCCACTCTGCAGGGAAACCTCTGCACCAGCAGCAAAGGCAGATGAGCGAGGGAAAGCCCAGCAGCGAAGGCAGGTGAAGGAAAGTCCAAGCTCCATAGCTAAGAGCTCCTGGCCCAGTCACACCCCACCTTGGCCTCCAGCACTGCGGGTCAGGGGTTCTGAGAAAGGCAGCTCCTTCCTGCAGCTCCTCAAACTCCCAGACCGCCTCCATCTCCCCTCAGCACCCCTCAGGTCAGGGTCAGGAATCAGTGGAGGCCTCCAGGGGCCCAGACAACCAATGTAGGGAATTTCCTCTAGCAGCAGGACCCAATGACTCAGGCTGGAGGGAGACCCTGCAGCCAGGAGAACCCTGGCAGACGCAGTCTGCCCATCACTGGATGAGCACACCCAATTGGTTAAGCATGGGGAAGCTCGTGGCCTATGGCTGCTGCCGCTTGCCCAGGGCCGGTCCAGTTCTCCGGAAAACTGCCGACGGCCGCTGCCACTGCAGGGGCCCAAGGCTCAGGCAGTGAGGGCCAGGTGAGGCTCAGGCAAGCCGCAGTGGCTGCAATGGCTGAGGCTCAGGCAGCCTTGCCGCTGACAGTGGCAGCAGCAGAGGCGTGATGGGAGCGTTGCCTGCCCCTGATCACAGTGTCGCCTCCCGCAGAGGGAGGCCAGACTGCAACTTAGGCCTGCTCCCCGTGGGGACATCCCTACCCCCATGCACGAATCTTGTGCACCAGGCCTCTAGTATATATATAAAAGCCTAATATGCTAAGTGTCCCTCCAACTGTCCGACTGTTTGCTATGCTGAGCACTGACCACGAGGGGGCAGACGCTCAATGCAGGAGCTGCCATGATGTGCGCTGGCCATTTAAAAATAAATGGCACCACAGTCCTGGCGTGCAGTGGCTGCAATGGCTGAGGCTCAGGCAGCCTTGCCGCTGACAGTGGCAGCAGCAGAGGCGTGATGGGAGCGTTGCCTGCCCCTGATCACAGTGTCGCCTCCCAAGTGGCTAAACAGGTGGCTTGAAAATAAAGGCTGAATCTTAAATCATGCTCAAATAAGGTGGCATTATCTATATATATAAAAGCCTAAGCAACCATCTGACTGTTCGACCATCCGACCGGTAGCTATGACACACATTGACCACCAGGGGTCAGACGCTCAATGCAGGAGCTGCCATGATGTGCGCTGGCCATTTAAAAATAAATGGCACCACAGTCCTGGCGTCAACAAACCAACACTCGGCTTCCCCCAAGTGAGACACAGGCCCAGCCACTACCCTGGAGCAACACCCCACCAAATCACAGCCAATACTCCCAAGACCCCATGGCGTAAAATGCGGCCCACAGCCCAGCCAAGCCCGGAAACAGTTGCTGTGGGCGCCTGGTAATGATGTCACGTAACAACACCTGGCTTTCTCTCCCTAGCGACTAGCATCCCTTGGAGTTTCTTCAGCCCAGAAACCCAACTTGCTTTATAACCAGGTGCAAACACTTTACAGCTTAACCAAATGTTTGTGAATCATTTTCCTGTGCCTCATGTCATTTGATCCTCACAGAAATCCTGGAGTAGGTAGATAGGAGACTCGGTAGAATCCTATTATCTTTTCATTAGCAAGATGCGAATATTGATATTAAAATAATTTCTTCTAATTAATTTCCTTTCAATGTGCATGAATCCATACACCGGGACACTAGTATTTTATAATTTGCTTTGCGTTTTAAAAAGTTTTACAATAGTAATAAATGTTTAATGAAATTGTATGATAAATTGTATATGATACCAGGAATCAATATACCTGCCTTCCTTTTGACTGGCACAGATCACATGGATGAAGAAGTCATTTTTGCAAAACTTTTTGAGGGCTTCATCAGTTTTCCTAAGGGCCTCTTCTTTTATAGTTAAGTCTCTTGAAGTACTTGTTAATAGCCTTAATGACAATTTAAATACTAAGTACTCTAACTCTTGAATTCTCAATTGTTTTGGCTTTCTTTGCCTGTGTGTGATTGGAGAAGTTCTCCAACATCACTTTGGAGGAGAGACAAAGATGCTGACTTGGTGGTCAAGAAGAGACATGATAGTGTTAACCTGGGAGAGATCGATTTTATAAATGGGCAGTTTATGACAACTATTTATTGTAGTAATAACTGGTTTCTTTGTATACATACATATGTGACAGATGGAAAACATTTCTTGCACTAAAATGCACAGTATGTTCTTGGAAACTTTTTTGAATTTGCTCTTATGATCCATTGATTTTTTTGTCTTATTTGTGCCTGTCACGTGGATTTTTAGTTATTGTAGGTTTACAGTACATCTCATCTATACTAATAAAAGCGTAATATGCTAATTAGACTGGATGTCCTTCTGGATCTCCTACCAGACGGCCTTCCAGACGAAGCTGGGGCTGCGAGGGAAACCCGGGTCCCAGGCGCCTGCCAGCGGCTGGAGGGAAGCCCAGGTCCCCGGTGCCAGAGAGAAGCTGGTGCCGGCAGCCGGGGAAGGAAGGCCTACTCTTGCATGAATTTTGTGCATTGGGCCTCTTAGTATAGAATAAGGCAAGACTGCCCTTATTCGTTTTTGAAGTGTTCATGGGTATTTACTTTGTAGTTACTTTTTCCTCATGGGAAAATACATTAAAATTATTTTAAAATATGATTGGATTTACTTGGTATCTTTTCTTTAATTATGGTTTTTCAAAAAACTTCTTGACTAAAAGAGATAAAGGAGACTGGAATGTCCATTCTGAAACTCTGTGGAAGAAAACCAAAATGGATAATCTCTGAAAGAAAACTCAAGGTTATCTATCATATTACAATTCTCAAAATTTCTTATTGTGAAGCAATAATAGTAACTTCTTTTTAGAAAATACTTTTTAAGTTGATTAATTTGGTAAGAATTATTATGGCACTTTTCTCTTTCCACTAAGTGTTGCTGAATATGACTGATAAAGTCAAATTACATTACTCTGAAAGATTTCTTGTAGTTGAATAGGGTTTCTTCCAACTCTCTGGCTTAATTACCCTTCCTTGAAGAAGGCAGTAAGCGGAGTTCAGATGCCCCACATTGAACTCTAGGTGTCATCTGGCCACCATTCTCATGTCACATCTCTGCAGCTCCCCAGAGTTCCCACCTGGTGAAGAACCTTTGTGAATAAAGGGGAATCTAAAGGAATGGTGGCGGGCTCAGTGGATTTTATCAAGTAGTAATAGGTAGTGGAAGGCTGAGAGCGAGCAAGGGCTTTATTTTGTAACTTCAAGTTTCTGCCAGGCACTTGATTCCTTAGGTAATGTGACCTGGAGTTCCTAAACGGGTCCCATACCCTTAAGGTTTATCCCTGGCCTCTGAATGTGGCTTTCAGGGAGGGAAGATGGAACTAATTGGCTGTACAAAATAAAATTTAGGATAACCTTCCAAACACAGTAAGGGAAGAGGCATGAGGAGGAATTGTCCCCTGGCCAAACAGGCCAGGACTGACAGGTGACAGTGCTGATGGAAGGCAGTTTTTAGTTGACTGTAAGCTGTAGCTATGGCTCTCCAAGGGGGAATTGTTGCCTGTGTGGGGTAAATGTCTCATCTCTGGACCATTATTAGCAGTGTCCACGTGGCTGTCCATCTGGGAGATTGTGGAGGATTCCTGTGTGGTTCTAAGTTTAAGATACAAGGCCTCTAAGGCCCCTTGCCACTTGGTGATTTTTTTATGCGCGCACTCAAGCATGAGTATTTAACAACTTCTGTACCAGCTTTAACTCTATAATGTGAAAGAAAATAGTCGTTATTAGGTATGGTATGCATGAGATTTGTTGGGCTTTGCAGTTCCATCAGCAGACACTTATATTGCTATATTGGGGGATATGTATGCATGTTATAGAAAGGATTATTAATTAAAACTTTTTTTCTGGTCACTGTGAAAGGAAACCTCCTCAGAGTTACAGAGTTGGTTGAAGGAGACTAGTGACTGCCTAGAATAAAGATGGAGGGAAAGGAGTTTGTTGAGAAGAAAGCTGAGCTGGCCTACTCTACTTAAAAAAGTTAAAAAGGAAGAACACCACTGATCTAGGGAATTTTTATCCAGTATTCCATAGATTCGGAGTAGAGTAATGATGGCTTATTAGTTCTGTAATCTATTTTCTACAGTGATATATGCAATAAGTGCTTTCATATGGCTCTGTAAAATATTTC